TTTAGATTTTTTTGTTATAATTTATAGTTTGAAACTAAATATATTTGGATTGTATTCACAAAAATATAATTTTTTTCTAATCTAATCAAAACTTTTTCAGTTTTTTGTTGTTGACATTTTGTTTAGTATTATTTACTAAAATTATTAAAACTATTAAACTATTCTATCAATTAATTAATAGTAATAAAAAAAGTAAAACATGTTAACTGATGTTAATTATATAACACGTGTTAGTTTATATTATTATAATAAAACGCGCGACTCATTTTTTCATCTTTTTTGCTAATCCTAATCATTAGATATATATATATTTAATTTATCATTAGATTTTAATGTATATATTGTTATAATATTACAAATATTAAATCATAATTTTTTGAAAAAAATTAAGTTAATTATTATTGATTTATCATCAATTGACAGTTGTGTTAATGTTTTAATAATTTTTTGAATGCCTACTAAACTACTACTGTTTAATACTACTACTGTTAATACTTTCTATTAAAAAAAATCGATGTATTTAACTAAAAGGTATGTCCAGACAAATCAATTATTAATTTCTACTGTTATTGTTTCTAAGTATTTCTATTAATTTAAACAAAATTAATTAAAAAAATAAATAAAATTCCCAGAAATATTCTGTTATCGTCGGCTTCATTGCTAACATCATTGGCTTTATACACTAATCGCCGACAACTGGCCAACAAACAGCCACCACCACCACCACTGCCGACAATGATTTGGCAACAATCGGTCGGACAAATGTCTGACCACCGAAATAATGCCAATTCTAATAATAATAATAATAAGCCATCGATTGAATGGTTGAGTAGAAGGGCTCACATGTTTGACATAGACATTGAATACTTTAAAAACAATTACGAAGAAAATGTGATTGCATTGTATGGTTACCAATATGTCGACAATAAGATTATGGGAGTCGGAACAGCAGTCATGTTTAATGACGACCAAAATTTGGCCGTTACTAATGCTCATGTAGTGGCCGGCTTTCACCACATGTTAGGCAATACATGCTTCCCAGAGCCGACCAAAAAGTTAGATGAACAGCCGGACGTCGAAATGTCTACTGAATTCATTGCCCGAGTAGTATATGTTGAATGGCAACTGGATCTAGCACTGGTACATCTATATGAAATGGACATCTACGCAATGCAGTTGCATCCATTGTATCCGGCCGATCGTCAACTGGAACTGGGCGAATCGGTAGCCATTTTGGGTCACGGTTGGGGCCAGTTGTGGTCAATCAGTGTCGGCTACATAACTGCTTATACAATCATTGATACTATAAGTGCGACAAATCATGAACCGACTTCCGATAGGTTAGACAAACGGGAACTGTTTGTCGTACATAAGTCCTCTAGTATTTCGGGAACATCGGGTTCACCTATAATTGATGCCAACTTTAACATTATTGGCATTCATTTTGGTGGAGTAATATCCAATGATCGCCTTAAACTTGACACTCATTATAAAAGTGTAAAAGGCATGTATACATATACAAACATATATAGATATATAATTAATATTTAATAATTACTACAATATTACTATATTTACTATTATTTTTTGAAACACAGAATTTATGCGAAGAGGCATTAATTACATGCAATCTGAGGACAGGTTAGACGATGAAGACTATCGTATTTATTGTTATGCATCTGTTATGACCAATCAATTGGGTATAGTTTTAGCCAAAACTACTGATGATATTGACATCAGTTTTACGATAGTCGATGTCATCAACAATCGACAGTAAGTTGTTTTTTATAACATTATAATACTAACAACAATATAAACAACAACTAAGCAATGATTTGATATTTTTAGCAATGATTTATACTATTCACTACTAATTTATTTATTTATTTAAGTTAATTAAAATATGTACTACTAATACTAATAATTTATTATTTAATATATAAAATAATAATAATAATAATTATAGGTCTGAACTGAAAATCAATGATATAATACTTGAAATCAATGGCCAGCCGTTTACCGATATCAGCCAAATGACTTATGCCATTATATATAGTAATATAATTGTTTTGACGATCAGTCGTAACAATGATGTAAGTCAACAGTCAGTTCATAGTTTTGACGATATTAAGCTACAAGTGTTTTAAAATATTAAATCTAAAAAAAATTATATATAATATTCAATTGAATTCAATTGAATTCAATTATTATTAAAATTAAATTTCATACTAAATATATAAAAATTTTGTATAAATAATTATATATAAATTTATTCTCAACTAATAGTATTTTTCGTGTTTTTCATATACTATATAATAATTTGTAACTTTTTAATATTAAATTGTATTTTCATAATATAATATTAAATACATATTTCTATATAAAAATAGCTTATTTTTTAATAAAGTTATTTAATTAATGAATAATTTAAACTTATAAATTTTTACTTTTAAATCAGAAATTGCTTATTAATGTCTTCAACACTGATATTAAATAAAACAATTAAAATACGCGACATTAATAACTTATAAGTTAGAAATTGTTTTAAATATTAATATCGTTACAGCAAATGTATGCTATAATATATAATAATTATTGATTAATTGGCAGTTAATTAGTGTTTCAAATTGAAACTTTTAATACGTTATTCAATAACTGTTTAGTTCATAATCTACTATACAATGATTTTCTATTATACTAAAAGGTATATCAAATCAAATTAAATATATTATTAATAACTTTATAAACAAATCAATTTCACTCTAACTGTAATACAGAAATTTTCTGCTTTCGTCGGCTTCAATGCTAACATCATTGGCTTTATATACTAATCGGCGACAACTGGCCCACTACTGGCCCAATACTACTATTGTTAATACTTTCTATAAAAAATCGATGTATTTAACTAAAAGGTATGTCCAGACAAATCAATTATTAATTTCTACTGTTATTGTTTCTAAGTATTTCTATTAATTTAAACAAAATTAATTAAAAAAAAATAAATAAAATTCCCAGAAATATTCTGTTATCGTCGGCTTCATTGCTAACATCATTGGCTTTATACACTAATCGCCGACAACTGGCCAACAAACAGCCACCACCACCACCATTGCCGACAATGATTTGGCAACAATCGGTCGGACAAATGTATGACCACCGAAATAATGCCAATTCTACTAATAATAATAAGCCATCGATTGAATGGTTGAGTAGAAGGGCTCACATGTTTGACATAGACATTGAATACTTTAAAAACAATTACGAAGAAAATGTGATTGCATTGTATGGTTACCGATATGTCGACAATGAGATAATGGAAATCGGAACAGCAGTCATTTTTAATGACGACCAAAATTTGGCCGTTACTAATGCTCATGTAGTGGCCGGTTTTCACCACATGGTAGCCGATACATGCTTCCCAGAGCCGACCATAAAGTTAGACGAACAGCCGGCCGCCAAAATGTCTACTGAATTCATTGCCCAAGTTGTATATGTTGAACATCACCTGGATCTGGCACTGGTACATCTATATGAAATGGACATCACCGCAATGCAGTTTCATCCATTGAATCCGGCCGATCGTCAACTGGAACTGGGCGAATCGGTAGCCATTTTGGGTCACGGTTTGGGCCAGTTGTGGTCAATCAGTGTCGGCTACATAACTGCTTATACAATCATTGATACTATAAGTGCGACAAACTATGAACCGTTATCCGATACGTTAGACAAACGGGAACTGTTTGTCGTACATAAGTCCTCTTGTATTCCGGGAACATCGGGTGCACCTATAATTGATGCCAACTTTAACATTATTGGCATTCATTTTGGTGGAGTAATATCCAATGATCGCCTTAAACTTGACACTCGTTATAAAAGTGTAAGAGGTATGTATGCATATACAAACATATATATATATATATATATATATATATACTATATATATATAGTAAATTATTTATTAAAAACAATATTATTATTATTACTATATTTATTATTTTATTTTTTTTTTGAAACACAGAATTTATGCAAAGAGGCATTAATTATATGCAATCTGATGACAGGTTAGACGATAAAGACTATCGTTTGAATTGTTATGCATCTGTTATGACCAATCAATTGGGTATAGTTTTAGCCAAAACTACTGACGATATTGACATCAGTTTTACGATAGTCGATGTCATCAACAATCGACAGTAAGTTGTTTTTTATAACACTATAATACTAACAACAATAACAACAACTAAGCAATGATTTGATATTTTTAGCAATGATTTATACTATTCACTACTAATTTATGTGATTTATTTAAGTTAATTAAAATATGTACTACTAATACTAATAATTAGGTATAAAATTGAAACTAATGATATAATACTTGAAATCAATGGCCAGCCGTTTACCGATATCAGCCAAATGACTTATGCCATTATATATAGTAATATAATTGTTTTGACGATCAGTCGTAACAATGATTTTAGTCAACAGTCAGTCCATAGTTTTGATGACGATATTAAGCTACAAGTGTTTTAAAATATTAAATATAAAAATATATATATATAATATTCAATTGAATTCAATTATTATTATTAAAATTAAATTTCATACTAAATATATAAAAAATTTTGTATAATATAAATAATTATATATAAATTTATTTTCAACTAATATTATTTTTCATGTACTATATAATAATTTGTAACTTTTTAATAATAAATGGTATTTTCATAATATAATATTAAATAAATATTTCTATATAAAAATAGCTTATTTTTAATAAAATTATTTAATTAATGATTATTTAAACTTAAAAATTTTTACTATTAAATCATAAATTTTTTGTTATTATCAGGCAACACAGATATTAAATAAAACAATTAAAATACGCGACATTAATAACTTTTAAGTTACAAATTGTTTTAAATATTAATATCGTTACAGCAAATGTATGCAATAATATATAATAATTATTGATTAATTGACAGTTAATTAGTGTTTCAAATTGAAACTTTCAATACGTTATTCAACAAATGTTTAGTTCATAATCTACTATACAATGATTTTCTATTATACTGAAAGGTATGTCAAATCAAATTAAATATATTAATAACTTTATAAACAACAAATCAATTTCACTCACAACTATTAATACAGAAATTTTCTTCTATCGTCGGCTTCAATGTTAACATCATTGGTTGTATATTATACTAATCGCCGACAACTGGCCAAACAATCGCCGCCAATAATTAGACGTCAAGTAGGGCTAGAAATGCTTAACCAGCAAAATAAAGCCAATAATACTAATAAGCCATGGATTGAATGGTTAAGTAGAGCTCACATGAAGTTTGAAGTTGACTTAAAAAAATTGAAACAGGACTACAAGTTTAGTGTAATCGTGTTGATGGGTGTCATATATGAGGACAACGAATCTATCGAAACAATCGGTACAGGTCTCATAATTGATAACAACCGTAATCTAGCCATCACCAATGCTCATGTAGTGGCCGGCTATAACTTTATGTTTGCCCAAACATGTTTTATGGCCAAAACCGTACAATTAGCGGAACAGTCGACCGTCGAGACGACATGTATGACAATAGCACGGGTTGTATATAGTGAGGACAATCTGGATCTGGCAATAGTACAGTTGGCTGAACTACGGGCTTGTCAACAGTTGCCGATTATGTGGCCAAAGTTTTGTCCACCAGAACTGGGCGAACCGGTAGTCATTTTGGGTAACGGCGAACAACAATATTGGACAATCTATGTCGGCTATGTTAACGTTATTCATCCATTGGCTTATCAATCAGTCATAGAGTCTAATAAATCGCAACTTTTTGTAGTACATAATTCAAATGTAACTCCTGGTACGTCCGGTTCGCCTATAATTAACGCCAACTACGATATTATTGGCATTAATTTTGCTGAAATTGATATGACTGACAAATCTAAACTGGGAACCCATAGTCAATGTACAGTTGGTATGATTTAATACAATCAATTTTTTTTAATTAAGTCATTAAACCAATATTTAATATAATTTATTTGAAATGAAATTATTATTATTAATTTATAATAGAGTTTATTCAAAGAGCTATGAAATACGATCAGTCTATGGATAGACTAAACGAAAAACACAATCGTTTCATATATTATACTGAATTTTTGTACAACAAATTAGGTATTATTTTGGCTAAAACTACTGATATTAATAAAACTGGTTTTGTGGTCATCGATATCATAGACAATCGCAGGTTTATAACTATTTATATAATGCTAACAACATAGCAATGATATGATTAGAAATTATATTTAGTTATTTTCAATGCAAATAATAATAATTTATTAATAAAAAATATACCAAATAATAACAATTAGGTTTAAACTACAAATCAATGATATAATAGTCAAAGTCAATGGCCAGCCGTTTGCCGATATCAGCCAAATCACTGATGCCATCAATAGATCTGAGGGTAATATTGATTTGATGGTCAATCGCAACGAAAACATACTACCCGTGAAAGCCAGTAGATTAATTGACATACTTTCGCCAACAATGTTTTAATTAATATTAAAATTAATATCAAAATTAAATCATTAGATTATAAATAATAGTTTATATATTTATGATAATAAAAATTTATAAATTATTCATTTTTTTCATTAAACACAATTATTTAAAAATTAAAATAACATAAATATAAAATACAAGTGTAATTTTATCTTTATTTTTTTTATAAAATTAAAATATGACATTTTATAATAATTAATTTATATAATAGTTATTTGTGTTTTTTTTTTGCTAAATTTCACTTTTTCTAACTAAACATTAAAAAACATTAATTGTTAGAATAGAATATTAATTGTAAAAAAAGTTAAAATAATTACATAATAGCGAGAATATATATACAGTATTTACAAAAAAAAACACAAACATTAAAATTTGAAATTATTAACAATTCATAAGTAATAATTCATAAATAATTATTTTCATTAATTGACAGTTAGTGTTAATTAGTTTGTGTTTCAATTAGTTTTTAAACTATATTATTAATACTGTATTATCAACTGTATTGTTCATAATCTACTGTCCAATACAATGAATTATTTTTATTATACAAAAACGTATGTCTGTCCATACATTTGAATTGATTATATTATTTACTTTGTAATTATAATTAAATTTATCAGAAATTTTCTGTTAGGTATGGCTTCAATGCTATCATCATTGGCTGTATATAATACTAAACGCCGACAATTGACCAAACAATCATCGATAATGATTAGTCAATCGGCCGGACAAATGTCTAACAACCGAAATAATACCAATAATAAGCCATGGATTGAATGTTTAAGTAGAGCTCACATGAAGTTTGAAATTGACTTAAAAAAATTGAAACAGGACTACAAGTTTAGTATAATCGTGTTGTTGAGTATCAAATACGAGGACAACCAATCAATCAATACAATCAGTACAGGTGTCATATTTAATAACAACTATAATCTAGCCATCACCAATGCTCATGTAGTGGCCGGCTATAACTTTATGTTTGCCCAAACATATTTTCAGGCAACAACCGTACAATTAGCGGAACAGTCGACCCTCGAGATGACAATTATGTCAATTGCACGGATTGTATATATTGAGCATAATCTTGATCTGGCAATATTACAGTTGGTTGAACTGGCAGTTGGCCACCAGTTGCCGATTGAATCGCCAATGTTTAGTCCACCAGAACTGGGCGAACCGGTAGTCATTTTGGGTAACGGCGATGAACAAAATTGGACAATCTATGTCGGCTATGTTAACATTGTTTTCCCATTGGCTTATCGATCAATCATAGGGTCGGATAAATCCCAACTCTTTCTAATACATGATTCAAATGTAATTAAAGGTACGTCCGGTTCGCCTATAATTAACGCCAACTACGATATTATTGGTATTAATTTTGCTATAAGAGATATGACTGACAAATCTAAACTGGGAACCCATAGTCAATGTATAATTGGTATGATTTAATACAATCAATTTTTTTTAATTAAGCCATTAAAGCCAATATTTAATATAATTTATTTGAAACACAATTATTTATTATATACTAGACTTTATTCAAAGAGCTATGAAATACGATCAGTCTATGGATAGACTGAACGAAAAGCTCAATCGTTTAAGAAATTATACTGAAGTTTTGAACAACAAATTGGGTATTATTTTGGCAAAAACTACTGATATTAATATCACTGGTTTTGTGGTCCTCGATATCATCCAATATCGCAGGTTTGTTACAATTTATATAATGTCTAACAACAACACATAGCAATGATCTGATTAGAAATAATATTTAGTTATTTTTAATGCAAACAATACTAATTTATTATTTAAAACATACCAAATAATAACAATTAGGTCTAAACTGCAAATCAATGATATAATACTTGAAATCAATGGCCAGCCGTTGACCGATATCAGTCAAATCACTGATGCCGTCAATAGATCTCAGGCTGACATTGATTTGTTGGTCAATCGCAACACAAATATACTACCCGTGAAAGTCAGTAAATTTAAGGACATACTTTCGCCAGCAGTGTTTTAATTAAAATTAAAATCAGTATCAAAATTAAATCATTAGATTATTAATAATAGTTTATAAATTTATGTTAATAAAAATTTATAAATTATTATTTTTTTTCTTTAAACACAATTATTTAAAAATTAAAATCACATAAATATAAAATACAAGTGTAATATTTTACTGTTTAATACAATACTTTATTTATAACAATTTTATCTTTATTTTTTATAAAAAGTAATTTATATAATTGTTATTTATTTTGTTTTTTTTTCATATGCTAAATTTCACTTTTTCTAAATAATTTAGAAAAACATTAATTTTTAGAGCACTGATAGTATAGAATATTAATAGTAAAAAAAAGTTAAAATAATTACATAATAGCGAGAATATATATATACAGTATATCCAAAAAACACAAAGATTAAAATTTGAAATTATTAACAATTCATAATAAATAATTCATAAATAATTATTTTCATTAATTTACAGTTAGTTAATTAGTTAGTGTTTAATTAGTTTTTAAACTATATTATTAATACTATTATTCACAATCTTTTATTGACAATGAATTATTTTTATTATACAAAAAGGTATGTCTGTTCATACATTAAATTGAATTGATTATATTATTTACTTTTAAGCGATTTTTGTGCATTAAATCAATTTTGACTCTAACTATAATAATTAAATTTATCAGAAATTTTCTGTTAGCTATGGCTTCAATGCTAACATCATTGGCTTTATATAATCATAAGCGCCGACAACTGACCAAACAATCATCGATAATGATTAGTCAATCGGCCGGACAAATGTCTAACAACCGAAATAATGCCAATAATAATACTAATAAGCCATGGATTGAATGGTTAAGTAGAGCTCATATGAAGTTTGAAGTCGACATAAAAAAATTGAAACAGGACTACAAGTTTAGTGTAATCGTGTTGTTGGGTATCAAATACGAGGACAACCAATCAATTCATTCAATCAGTACAGGTGTCATAGTTGATAACGACCATAATCTAGCCATTACCAATGCTCATGTAGTGGCCGGCTATACCTTTTTGTTAGCCCAAACATATTTTAAGGCGACAACCGTACAATTAGCGGAACAGTCGACCGTCGAAACGACAATTATGTCAATAGCCCGGGTTGTATATAGTGAACAATATCTGGATCTGGCAATAGTACAGTTGGTTGAACTGGAGTTTGGCCACCAGTTACCGATTGAATCGCCACTGTTTAGTCCACCAGAACTCGGTGAAGCGGTAGCCATTTTAGGTCACGGCGATGACCAAAATTGGACAATCTATGTCGGCTTTGTTACATTAATTACACAAATGTCTGATGAAGTAATTATACAGTCGGATAAATCACAATACATGTGTCTAATACATGAATCCAATTCAATTGAAGGTACGTCCGGTTCACCGATAATTAATGCCAACTACGAGATTGTTGGCATTGATTTTGCTGACATAGATAAGACTGGCATATTTAAAATTGGCACCCATGGTCAAAGTGTTATGGGTATGTTTGATGTGCACACACACACATAAACACATACACACACACACACACATATTTATATATATATATATATATATATTTAAGACAACTTAAAACAATAATATAAAATATTTAAAATTTTATTTATTAAGATTAAGATTTATTAAGATATTATTTTTTAATAATTTGAAATATTTTAATATTTGTTATAGAATTTATTAATAGATGTTTTAACTACAATCAGTCTAATGATAGGCTTATGGATAAATTTAATCGTAAAAAAAAGTTTACTTCAATTATGAACAACAAGTTAGGTATTGTTTTGGCTAAAAATACTGACAGTAGTAATACAACTAGTTTTGTGGTCATTTATGTCATCAACTATCGCAAGTATGTTACTGTACTTTATATTTGATATTTGACTTTATGTTTGATATGATAATAAATTATTTTTTTTTTGTATATATGTGTGCAAACACTGCTAATTTATTGTCTGATTAATCTATAATAATTAGGTCTGAACTGCAAATCAATGATATGATACTTGAAATCAATGGCCAGCCGTTTGCCGATATCAGCCAAATCACTGATGCCATCAATAGATCTGAGACTAACATTAATTTGATGGTCAGTCGTAATAAAAATATAATACCAGTGAAAGTCAGTAAATTTGTTGACAAACCTATGCCACTAATGTTTTAAATAACATATATATTTTATTATACAGATATTTATTTTATTTTTTATAATTTATAATAAGTTGTTTTTTCATATAAAGTTATAAACTGTATTAAATTTGTATTAATTTTATTTATTTACTAATGTTTAAAACCATAGCATAATAATTATTTTTATTATAAATCAATTTTATATATTATAACCTTATTATAACCATTTTTTGTTTTATATAATAAAGTGATGTTCAAATTGAAAATTTTTAAATACAGTAATAATTATTGTATTAAATTTATTTTAGTTTTCATTATTCAAAAATGATTATCAATTTACTTTAATTTTTGGCTGTTGTATAGTATAGCTGCCACTTGTTGTTCACGCGATTAATATTTAATACAATTTTAAAGTTAAATATACGAATATCGCGTTAATTACAATAGATTTTATTAAATATAAATATATTATTATGAAATAATATTTTACATTGCAAATTAATATATATATACCTGTATATACTGTAATTAAAATTACATTAAAGGGTTGTATAATTGTTTTATACAATCAATAAAAAAATAAAATTATCTAAATTGTTGTGAAGTACGTGTCGGCGCCAAAGATATTCGGCTAAATGTAGATAAAGGTTATCTTGTGGTATACCCCCTCTTAAAAGATTGCGTTTCATAGCTCTCCATTGAGATTCAATGGTCTGTGTGTTTGCACCGGTATGTGAATTGACAAACTCTTTCGAATGATTCACAGTAAAATGGACAAAACCTAAAAATTAAAAAATTAATTAACTTAATAATATGTTTTATCTATCATTTATACCATTGTCTGTTAGTCTATAATATCCAGCCCAACAGTCAGACACAATAGTTGTCCCAATTTTTACATGCTTACGTATCAAAGGTAAAAGAGTGTCGGCATCTCTTTTATTTAGGGGACATATTTCTAAACGAAATCTACCTCCACGTCGACAATTAGCTCCTATTTGAATCTCAACTAAACCTAAAATCCACGTCCCATCAACTAGTCGACCTCTATTGTACTTTCTTTTACCAACTTTTGTTTCGTCAATTTCTACGACAACTCCTGAATTAAAAGTTATCAAAATATTATCATTATAATTAGGTTTAGGTTGCGGTCGGAACTCCAGGTTAGGTAACAGAGCAAACACTAATACACTATGAGTTTGGTATTACCATTATAATTAGGTTTAGGTTGCGGTCGGAACTCCAGGTTAGGTAACAGAGCAAACACTAATACACTATCAGTTTGGTATTTCCATTATAATTAGGTTTAGGTTGCGGTCGGAACTCCAGGTTAGGTAACAGAGCAAACACTAATACACTATGAGTTTGGTATTACCATTATAATTAGGTTTAGGTTGCGGTCGGAACTCCAGGTTAGGTAACAGAGCAAACACTAATACACTATCAGTTTGGTATTACCATTATAATTAGGTTTAGGTTGCGGTCGGAACTCCAGGTTAGGTAACAGAGCAAACACTAATACACTATCAGTTTGGTATTACCATTATAATTAGGTTTAGGTTGCGGTCGGAACTCCAGGTTAGGTAACAGAGCAAACACTAATACACTATCAGTTTGGTATTACCATTATAATTAGGTTTAGGTAACGTGCATAATTAAATATGTATCATATACTACCTTCTCCTCCTAAGAGATCAACTGATTGATATTTTTCGACCCAATCAAATACCACTTCTCGACAAAAGTTAAGCCAATCACTTATAGTGTTATGAGATGTTGTTTTAGTTAAATCACTTGTTTCTCGTTTAATGTCCTCATATTTTGTTGTGCCGACCGAAAACAGGTACGTCAAGATTATTATGTTTTCAATGCTAAACTTTGATCCAGAAAACCACGTATTATTCAAAGCACTTAGTCTATAATCATGAGGTTGTCCATGCTTTTGGTGGCACCGGTACGATAATTGTTTGACAATTATCTTCTACGAAAATAATTTTTTAATGTATTTTTTTGCAAATTAATTATTTACCATTTCGTTGTCACAAATGGGACACTTTTTAGTTGCTAATAATAAACCCATTGTTATACACCAGTTAATCATTGTCTCCTGTGAGACAAGTATTAGTCTAAATAATGTCTTTAGATTAATCATTTTGTTCACTAAATTTAAGTCATAGCTTTCAAAAGAAACATAACTTTCAAGAAAAACTTAACAAAGAAAATATTCTCTAATTTACAATAAAATTAATAGTAATTCACGAGACATTCATATATTTATCTTTAAAATTGTATTAAATATTAATCGCGTGAACAACAAGTGGCAGCTATACTATACAATACCCTAATTTTTAATACAGTAATTCACGGGGCAATAAGCTTTTAATAACAACAATTAGTATCATTTATTATTCAAAAATTAGTCGAAATTGTAATTACATGAAATGTTTTGAAATAAAATTATTTATATTTAAAAAAATTTTGTTAATATTCTGTACAATGATTTACTTTTATACTAAAAGGTATGTTTACAAACAAAAAATCAATTAAAAAATACAGTTTATAATTCATAATTAAATTGGTTTATTTGACTATACAATTGATAATAATAATTATTATTAATTTTATTGTAAAAAACACAGATATTATTTTTTGAGATTATTATTATTAACAATAATTAATAATTATTATTATTTATTAATAATCAGCAATTTGACAGTTAGTAAAAATTTTTAAGTATTGATAATTACTGTATACAATGATTGGGTATATTATTAAAAGGTATATTCAATATAAAATTTAAAAAAATTATTACTAATTTGTAATCACTTTTATATATCTCTCAATGAAAATTCAGAAGTTTTCTGTTATCGTCGGCTTCATTGATAATATCGTTGAGTTTATATACTAAAAGCCGACAACTGACCAAACAGTTACCGTCGCATATGATTTGGCGATCGGGCCGACAAACAGAAATGTCTAACAGAAATGATAATAATAGTTATAATAATAATAATAATACTAAAAAGTCATGGATTGAATGGTTAAGTAGGGCTCATATGTTTGACGTCGACATTGAATACTTCAAAGACAACTACAAGTATAATGTGATTGCGTTGTTGGGTATCAGCTATGAAGATAATCATACTATTTGTTCGATGGGAACGGCAGTCATTGTGGACACCGTCTCAAATATGGCCGTTACCAATGCTCATGTAGTAGCCGGTCATGACTATATGATTGCCAGAATATGCTTTAATGTGCCGACCAAACTGTTACCGGAACAGTCGTTCATCAAACAGACAGATAGATTGATAGCCCGAGTTATTTATATCGAACCGAACCTGGATCTGGCACTGGTATGTCTAGTAGAAATGGACGATATTAGCAACCGGTTGCTGGATCTGCCGATAGCTTATCGTCGGCACGAACTGGGCGAACAGATAGCCATTTTGGGTCACGGCCATGGCCAGTTATGGACAGTCTATGTCGGCTATATTATTGCAAACACACCAATTGATTGTATAGGGGAAACACATTTTCAACCGTTGGCCGGAAAGTATGACAAATGCGAATCGTTTGTATTACACAAATCAAATATAATTCCCGGAACATCCGGTGCGGCTCTGATTGATGACAACTTAGAGATTGTTGCCATAAATTTTGCTACTTTACATATGACTGACAAACCATCGTTGGCCACTCATAGTATAACTGTAAACGGTATGATACACCACCGTTCACACATATATATATATATACATATTTTAAATCATTGATAAAACATATATTTATATGAATCCCATATATATATATATATATATATATATATACAGACACACAGACAATGATAAAACATATAATGCTATTATCTGTATTACCATATTATATGTTATTTATTTCAATCCTATATAGACTTTCTCGATAGAGCCGCTAATTACGTGCAAACAAGTGATAGGATTAATGAAAATTTCAATCGTTTTAGACACCATTATCAAGAAAGTGGTAATAAATTAGGTATTGTTTTGGCCAAAAGTACTGATAATATTAACACCAATTTTATTGTCATTGATATCATCGACAATCGCATGTATGTTACCCGTATTGTATAAAATACTGTACCTCAAGCTATGATTTAATTAATTAATTATTATTTATTTTTTTTTTGGTTTATAATCACAACTTTATTATAACATAAAAATATCAATAATAGGTCTAAACTCGAGATCGATGATATCATACTCGAAGTCAATGACCAATCATTTACCGAAATCAGTCAATTAACAGATATCATCGATAGATACGGTGAAGACGTTGTTTGGATTAGTCGTAACAATAATTTAATGCAAGTGAGAGTCAATTGTTATGATTACGATTGTATACCACAAGTGTTTTAGAAATATAAATAATAATTTCAATGGAAATTATTTTATTATTCAATAAATATTATTTACAGTATTATTTTAATAATCAAATCTTTTAATACTAAAAATTTAATTGATATTTATAATAATTTTATTTATAATTTTTTTCATTGAAAATCAATAATAATTTATGTTTTAAATCTATTTATTATTAATAATAAATATTAATATATAAAAGTAGTATTGTGATAAATGTTAGTGATATATGTTATAAATTGGAAATTATTTTTTTTAATTATTTAAACAATTTATTTTTTTTATATGGTTTCATTGAGTTTGAACTATTTTTTTGTGTTAATACTGTACTAACATTAGTAGATAAAAATAGTTTGTAATTAGTAATACTAATACATACTACAAGTTTAACCAACAGTTTAACCAACGATTAGATGGATTTAAAAAAAAATTTTTTTACCTAAAAGTGATTATCAATTGGGTATTGTCTTATCAAAAAATATTGATATTAACATTGATTTTATTATTTCGATGTAATCGACTCTGTATAACTTAATGTTATATATCGGTATATTATTTTAATAGCACAAGTAGTAGTAATATCAATAATCAATATAATAAAAGACAAATTTAATAATAATAATAATAATTATATGTAATAATCAACAATAGTTTATATGTGAACAGAGACAACAGTAAAATTTAAAATTATTAACATTAAAATTTTTGTCAGTTAGTGAAATAAAAAAAATTTAATTAAGTTTTATTTAACTAAAATTATATTTTTAGTTTATACAGTTAATACTGTACTATACGATGATTGGGTACATTACTAAAAGGTATGTCCAGACAAATACAAACAAATTAATTATTTATAATCTCTTTTGTTTATATACTGTATATACCTCTCAATGAAAATTACAGAAATTTTCTGTTATCGTCGGTTTCATTGCTAACATCGCTGTCTGTATATACTAAGCGTCGACAACTACTGGCCAAACAGTCGCCGCCACCGCCGCCGCCGCAAATGATTTGGCAATCGGGTCGGCAAATGTTTAACCACCGAAATAATGCCATTACTAATAATACTAATACTAATAACCTATGGATTAGAGACGCCCACATGTTTGACGTGGACATTGAAAACTTGAAAAACACCTACAAATATAATGTAGTTATTTTGGTTGGTTTCAGCTATACGGACAACTCGTTTCAGTCGACCGGAACGGGTGTCATAGTGGACGTCGACGAAAATATAGTCGTCACCAATGCTCACGTAGTGGCCGGCTATTACTATATGCATGCCTATACAAAATTCCCGTCACCGACCATACAATTGCCGGAACAAACGCGAATCGAAAAAACCAATATATTGGTAGCCCATGTATTATATATTGAGGAGCACCTGGATCTGGCACTGGTAAAGCTAGTCGAAATGGACTTAACTGGCATACCGTTACCATTTATGCAGCTGTCGGATCGTCCGTACGTACTGGGTGAACAGGTAGCTTTCTTGGGTCACGGTGATGGACAGTTATGGACAATCTATGTCGGCTATATAACAGCAAACACACCGTTTGATACGATATGGGAAACACATTTTATACCACTGGCCAGTCAGTATGATAAGTCCGAATCGTTTTGTTTGCATCAATCAAATATAATAACCGGAACGTCCGGTTCGCCAATGGTTGACTCAAACTTTGAAATTATTGGCATTAATTTTGCAACATTACAATTGTCTAACAGTCCCAGTACTGCCACACATAGTAAAACTGTAAACGGTATGATACACATACACATACACATACACATACACATACACATACACATACACATACACATACACATACACATACACATACACATACACATACACATACACATACACATACACATACACATACACATACACATACACATACACATACACATACACATACACATACACATACACATACACATACACATACACATACACATACACATACACATACACATACACATACACATACACATACACATACACATACACATACACATACACATACACATACACATACACATACACATACACATACACATACACATACACATACACATACACATACACATACACATACACATACACATACACATACACATACACATACACATACACATACACATACACATACACATACACATACACATACACATACACATACACATACACATACACATACACATACACATACACATACACATACACATACACATACACATACACATACACATACACATACACATACACATACACATAAAAACAAACACATTTATGCCAATAAATTATTTTTATTTTATTTATTAAAAGACTTTATTGAAAGAGCCGGCGAATTCATTGAGTCAGATGAACGACGTGACCAACAATTAGATCAATTGAAACAACAATTTCATCCAAAATCAGACAACCAATTGGGTATTGTTTTAGTTAAAAATATTATTGATAATATCACTACTGGTTTTATGGTCACCGATATCATCGACAATCGCACGTATGTTACTGTACTATAATATTATAATAATGCAAAAATATATATTAAAGTCAATGATTGCATTAGAAATATTTTTTTATTGTTGTTATTTTTGTTTACAATCAATACTTTATTAATAATATATCCAATAATAATAATAACAGGACTGAACTGGTTATCAATGATTTGATACTTGAAATCAATGGCCAACCGTTTACCGATATTAGCCAATTGACTGAATTGACTATCGCTAGTTTTGGTATCGATATTGAATTGAAGATCAATCGTAACAGTAATATAATGACAGTTATTGCCAATAGTTTTCAATACGATATTATACCACTAGTCGTATAAAAACAAAATAAAAAAAAAGATATTCAATTGAAATAAAATATTCAGTATTTAATTTTTTTATTGATTTAATTATTGAATCACTTTTGAATTACAAAATTGACTTATTTTAATATATATAAGTAGTAGTTATATAATAGCAATAATTATTTTTAAAAAATTATAATTACATAATTATCAACAATAGACACAACAGAGATTGTAATTTAAAAGTTATATATTAAAAGTTATATGAATTATTTATTTATTTTTGATTAACCATTAATTGACAGTTAGTTTAGTGCCAATAATTTTTAGTTTTTAATTACATTTGATATTATCAAATGTGTTTTATTTATACACTACTAAAAAATGATTTGTTATTATACTAAAAGGTATATACAGTACACAAACTGTTAGATTAGATAATTAACATTTTTATTTGATTGACTATACATTTATGATAATATTAATAATAATTATTTACTATAATAATTGCTTTACATCTAATGATTTTACTCTAAATATAATTTTTTTAAAATTACAGAAATTTTCTTTTATCGTCGGCTTTATTGCTATCATCGTTGTCTGTATATACTGTCTGTATGTCTGTATAAGTCGGGTTGCTTTCAACGGTTCCGTTGGAAAACAAAACCACTTTCTTGTGATTGGAGTTGTTGTCATCACTTGTGTCATCTGATTCAGTAGTGATACAATTGATGGCAATTGATTTGTGAGACAATTTGAGTCAATTAGTGGCTAACTGTTGCTGTCCTTGTTTTTGCACTCAATTTCATTTGTACTCAACAGTTGGCCATTGGTTTAGACGCCCGGGATATTGATGTCGACACCGAAATCATTGTATGAAAACTGAATCTTTTTGTTTTTCATCAGTGAATCGACATTTCTGGCATTTTTTGTGTGGAATTTCTTGACCACCAAATCAATGGCTGATTGTTTGAACTCCTGTTTCACTTGTTTGATGACATCATCACTAATGTCCATATTGTAGACGACTACTACTACTACGGCATCTTTATTGCTGTCCATCATTGATCAAATCAGTGATGACCTAAATAATTGGTGGTAACTCTTTGACAGTCAACTTGTTATTATAATTATAACAAAAATTATAATTGATTTAAAACTTTACTGAAATTTATTATTAATACAGTAATTACTGATTATATTTTGATTCACGCCTTTATTATTAACTGTATTATAAAATTATTAGATAAAAACATTATTTTAATTATTTATTAGATTTTAATTGTTAGTGTGATTATTGTATGTGAAGTTTAAAATTAATTATAGTCTCACAAAAAAACCAAACAAACAAATTATAGATCAGTTTTTTTAGAGATCAGTTAACTTTTTTTTCAAAGATTATCATAGATTTTTAGAAAAACAAAATTAACACAAAGTTTTGTTGATTCATACATACATACAGTAGTATTTAAATTTTTTTTTAATAAAATGCATTTTACGCTTAACATCGGCACAGTTATGTTTGCGGCACTTGTATTCAGTAGTCAATTCAATGGACATCACCAGCAATCAGTTCCTGAGATTCCTGGTTTTTACTCCACTGGGATTCAGTTGCCGGGAGGTATGAGATTTCTTAATAACTTGATTAGCATAACAACTATCGCCACTAAAACCCCAGACACTATGATTAATACTACGACTATGGCTGGTGAAGGCAATTCAGTAGAAACCGATACTAACAATAATAATACTGCTATCAGTACTGCTAATCCTGATGATCAACAGCCACCCGTTGGTAATAGTACTGCCGATTCAGATATTAACAGCACTACACCCGAACCAGGAAGCGATACAACTACCATACATACAGGTGCCGATACAACTGGTGTTACCAGCAATGAGAATACCCAACAAAGCCAAACACAAGCACCGTCTGTAAGCTCTGGCGGTATGTAATACTGTATATGTGTGTGTGTGTTGTCATTGTTTTTTATGACATTTCAATGACTATTTGGTTGTTTGTTAACAAATTGATAATCATTAATAAAACTGCTTAAAAATATATATGTTTTATAGTAATAACAACATCAGCGAAACCAAAGTCAATGTCATCGGGAATGACATGGATTTTGATAGCCGTTATTGTCGTCGGAGTAATCGCTCTGATACTTGTGCTCTGCTTATGTGGTAAATCTCTCTCTCTCTCTCTCTCTCTCTCTCTCTCTCTCTCTCTCTCTCTCTCTCTTTATAAACATTTTTTATAATCAAAATTTTGATAAATAATTTGTATATATATTTTCATCCAAAAAAAATAATCAGTAATGAAAAATCGTGATTCAAGTGATCACAAAAAATTGTCGAAATCACAGCCAACTAGTGTAAGAACTATGCCTAATAAGGTTGGTTCGGTTAAATCGGGACCACAGTCGCCGCCGAACAAATTGGGCGGACCGCCGGCACCACCTCCTCCACCGCCGCCGCCGCCGCCGCCAGAAAAAGTGTCCAAATCAGAGTCAGAAGCGAAGTCAGATGGACAGCCAGTTGCTGGTCAGGTGAGTACAGAGCAGACACAAAAATCGGAACCAATAGCCGATCCGACAGTGGATGACACAACAACAACAACATCGGATGAAAGTCTTATTAATATCGATGCCGAACCCATTGCTGTCAAATCTAACGGTCCTGAAGTGGTCTGATTCATATGATTTTGTATTGAGATTATAAAAAGTTTGATACATAACAACTACACCAAAAAAAAATTATTTTATATTTTTTTTTAATTATAACTATTAGTTTTGTTATTTTATATATCAATTGATTGAAAATGTTGATTGAATTTTTCATTATTAGTATAAATTATTGTTTTTTCATATACAGTATATTATATTTATAAATAAATCTCAATACATATAATAATAATACTATTTTTTTTGAATATAAATATGTATATTATTTTAATTCAATTTATTAAACTATTAAATAATAAATATTGTCTAAATAGCTTTTAATAATAACACTATCTAGATAGGTCTAGACAGGTAGGCAGGTGCTGTCTAACTACATTTTGCTATATTGTATGACTCACAGGGCACCGGGAGGATAGCTACCTGTGCTAAATTTTTGTAAAATTTTTTCAAACGCAGTTTTTTCGAAAATTCATCATTATCAATTTTTATTAAAATTATTTAAATATATTTTAAAAATCTAAAATATCTTAAAAGTTTAGACGAATTAATGTCTATTGGTTCTGTGTTTTTGTTACATTAGGTTATTTAGTAGTTGTATAGACAAATTAAGTCTCATTCAAATTATTAATAATCAAGATTTTAAAATTAGTAAAATAATTGCTCGGCTATATATATATATATATATATATATATATATATATATGTTGCGCGGGACAAACTAGATTTCTTAATGGACATCAACTAAGTTAACAATCAATTTACTATAAATAAGTAATAAATATAACAAATATAATAATTCCCCGGTAAAAACTAGGCAGTTCCACGTAGTACTATAATAAATAATAAAATATATTATATAATCGAATGAATTTACTATCAATCAAACAGTGCTCTCATATAACAGTCGTCATCACATAGCAGTCGTTCTATAGCTATCGTATGCGTTGATGCTGTCAATCAAATTTATAAAAAATTAAAAATAAATAGACATAATTCTCGGCTTTTTAAATATAATTATTTGCCCTAAAAAGGGCCGTTTGTGGCTCTCAAAAGAACCGTTTGTAGCCTAAATTTAGTGTTTTATTACACTAAATTTGCGAGAAAGAGTCCTATCACTCGACCACAGACGACACAATTGGTGGTAATTGTTGTGATACAGTCACCACAATATTTGACATCACAGTCTTTACATTTGTATAAGACAGTGAATGAGTGGTGACGACATCCAAAGCATTGTGTATTGTGTGGGAAATCCTTAATATTAGTATATGAGGACATGTTAACTGAAGGATAACAATACACAAAATGAATAAAAAAATGAATTCTATTGTATTAAATGAGTTGTATTATAATGGGTGACATCAGTGCTACAGTTTAGCACTATTCATAAATACTGTTTAAGACAGACTGTAATAGTAATAGTAATAGTAATAGTAATAGTAATAGTAATAGTAATAGTAATAGTAATAGTAATAGTAATAGTAATAGTAATAGTAATAGTAATAGTAATAGTAATAGTAATAGTAATAGTAATAGTAATAGTAATAGTAATAGTAATAGTAATAGTAATAGTAATAGTAATAGTAATAGTAATAGTAATAGTAATAGTAATAGTAATAGTAATAGTAATAGTAATAGTAAGTGTATGCGTATGTATGCGTATGTATGTGTATGTATGCGTATGTATGCGTATGTATGCGTATGTATGCGTATGTATGCGTAGTGTGGATATATTTGTTTTATAAATTTAATAAAATTTATAAGTAAATACAAACGATTTTTATACTTATCATACACATTGTAGTTACAACATTGAAATATAAATAATTATTTATTATAATATATATTAATATAAAATTTTTATTGACTGAATTTTTTAAAAAGAAAAATAATTTAAAATGACAAAAATTAAATATAATAATTGATAATTTATGAAAATATTAAGTAATCTAATATAAGGAAATGTATTGTTCTTTAATCAGAATTTATTGTCTCAATTATCTGCGACAATGTCATCATTAATCAGCTGATGGTATGGCAATTGTGACACCAAAAAGGATCAAACTCTTCTTCATTGTCGAAACCAATGCTACATTCATTGTTCATATCGATAGAAATCTTATTTTTTTGTTTGGCATATATCAGACAAAACTTCAATACAGACATACTCTGGTATCATCTCATCAAATGAATGGCGGTTTAATTGATTGATTGTTGTTGTCATTGAAGTCGACATCAATTAAGTCATTAAGAATTCAATGATATTATATATATATATATGTCATTGCAATCTAATTAATTATTTAGTCATTATTACTAGACTATTAGTTATTAATTTTGTAACAGGTACAAATTTGTTATTACAAATTATTATACTTATACATTAGTATAACTTAATTATTAAAATATAAACTATATTATTATTATTATTTTGTAACTGCTACAATTTTGTTATTAAATTTATTATACTTATTCATTAGTATACCTTAATTATTAAAATATAAACTATATTGTTATTATAATTTTGTAACAGGTACAAATTTGTTATTATAAATTATAAATTATTTTTTATTTATTTTTTTAAATCAATCAATATATTTAATAATTTTTGATGCATTTTTTAATAAATATAAAAAATAATTCTACATTTGTTTGTTAATAAAACTATAGCTAAACAAAACAAAAGTAAATTAAATAAAATATTTAAATCTTTCAAACTTTTTGATCACAAAATGTCTAAACTTTGGTCTCGTCTTGAGATTCATAAGACCTGTTTCACTGTATGTACTTTTAGACCTCAATTGAACCGTCAATGTAGCCAATCGTTGCAATTTAGCCAACGATTCAAGTGATAGGTCAGTCAACTCTACTTCAATGAGCTTTAATTTGCGAAGATTTGGCAAATTGATGGCCAAATCGACAAAAAACGGATCCCGAATTCGGGCGCAACCGATGGATAACAGTCTCAATTGTCGACATTTGTTGAACAAATCACTGGTTAGATGACAATATATGAATACGAAACCCGAAATAATTAGTTGAGTGACATGAGTGCCACCAAACGCTTCATTAATATCGGCAATCATTATCATGTGTTCGGCCGTTGAATACATGTTTCTGAAATTGTAAGTAAATCGCCGAAGTTTTGGACAGTTGTTAACCAATTGTTGAAACTGTTGTCTACTGGCGTGTTGTCCGTCAAAAACAATTAATAGATTAGTCAACGATTCAAAACATATCTGACTATCAATGACTTTGTCGACGACTTTCTGATCTAACTGTAATTTTAGCCACAATTTCGGTGACTGTTGTTTGCCATAACAACTGTCGGCCGTATTTTTCGAGTCAATTGTATTCAATTGATTGTCTGAATCATTGTTTTGTTTATCGATAATCGGATTCAGATTGTCATCCGATGTAGAGCTGACAATGTCATCGATAATTATCCGTTCATTGGATAGTTGATAGTATGGTCTCAATGTTACGGTTTCTTTGATTTGTTGACACGAAAGTTCAATCCATTGAAATGGTGTTATCGTATATTGTCGACCAGCCCTTCCAACTTTTCCACTCATATAATCGCTTGAAAAATAGGACATCCATAATATCTCAGTGATATGTCGACACTCATTGACAATCAGTTCGCTCAGTTGGTTGTAGATCAGATCGATTTTGTCAAAACCATTATAACTACTGACACTTTCATTGGTACTCTCATTGTCCATATTATCGACATCATCATCGTTGACCTCATCATTACCATTGTTGTCGATATTGTAAATGTTAGAAATGAGACGAAAGGCAAATACTTTGATAATGACAGCACCGGTGGTAATGATGTCAACAGTTTTAGCAATCGCTTGTTTGACGAGTTTGTAAATGTTTAACGAAGTAATAATAATAATATTATTGTTGTTTCCGTTGTCTTCATTGTTCACTTGAACTACCTCTTCATTGACTTCATCTTCTTCTTCATCGTCATTGCTATCAAAACTATTGTCAATTTCTGAGTCATTTTCATCGTCAGTGGTCTCGTAGTCTTCAGAAGTTGCTAAGTGATGGTCATTGAACTCCTCTTTCTTTTCATAATATATTTTCAGCAAAACTCTTGTGACGTTTCGACACTTTCTGAAGATTGTCTGCCATTTTGACAAATCAAACGAATTGTTCACTTTTTCGACGACTTTGACGGCATAGACATTGTTGTAAACCAATCGTTGCCATTGTCTGGAAGTGGACTCGTATTTGAATTTGTCGTCAAACTCAAGATAACCTAACAATACTTCAGTCAAATCGTCACCGAATCGTTCAAACGAGTCTTTCGGCTGAATAGCCATATTCTTCGACATTAATTGTTAAGATTGTATGTATTGAAAAAAATAATCAAATCTAATATCTAACTGTTTATTATTATTTTTAAAAATTTTAAATAAATAAATCTCACACTTAACTAGACTGACCACCCATACAGGTGCCGCCTGTATTATACAGGAATCAAGGGTCTAATACAGGTGACAGGAAAGGGCTAACCTGTATAATAAAATATACAGTTTTAAAATATGTAAAACTAATTGATTAATAAAAGTATAAAATAACTATGAATTAAGTTTTGTTAGTAAAAAATTGCTTGTATTTTTAATCTACAGTTTTAATATTTCAAATATTTTTTTAAATATAAAAAATTTATAAATATTTCTAAAATAGTTCATGTTCAATATAAAATAATTTCAACTTTTTATATAATTATAGCATCTAAATTAAATTTATTAATTAAAATTATAAATTTATACGAATATATTGTTATTTAAGTACAGGTTAACATACAGGAATATAATATTTAATATACAGGAAAATACAGGTGAAAATAATAATTTTATACTATTATACAGGTTTACTAATAAATTGGGTGGTCAGTCTACACTTAACACATAAATTGTGGCTGTTCTTTACTATAGCTGCCACGTGTTGGCACGCGATTAATATTTTTATATATTTTAGTTAAGTTTAGGTTAGGTTAGGTCGCGCGACAATAAATATTTACCGTAAAATATATAGAAATATTAATCGCGTGCCAACACGTGGCAGCTATAGTAAAGAACACCCTATAAAACTATTAAATATCTTGATAATAATAATAATAATAATATAAAACAATAATAACAATTATTAAATGTATCACTAATTTTAAAATAATTGTAATAATTTGTCAAAATTATTATATAACAAGAATAATACTCTAATTACTGATTGTATTTTGATTCACGCCATTGTTAACTAAAATTATAAAATTATAGATAAAAACATTATTTAAATTATTTAATAGATTTTAATTGTTAGTGTGATAATTGTTATTTCGGATTATTGTACGTGAAGTTTAAAATTGTCTAAAAATAATTAATTTTAGTCTCAAAAAAACAAACAAACAAATTATAGATCAGTTTTTTTTAGAGATCAGTTAACTTTTTTCAAAGATTATCAGAGATTATTGAAATTTTTAACATAAAGTCTTTGTTGATTCAAACATACAGTAGTATTGAGTATTTAAATTAAAATGCATTTTACACTTAACATCGGCACCTGTATGTTTGCGGCACTTGTATTCAGTAGTCAGTTCAATGGATATCAGCACCAATTTATTCATGGGATGACTGGCATTCCTTTACTTCCTCCTGGTTTTCTGGAAGGTATCTCATTTTTACCTAACAATGTGCTTAACATAACAAGTATCGGCACTAAAACCCCAGACACTATGACTACTATTACTACGACTATGGCTGGTGACGGCAATTCAGTAGAAACCGATACTAACAATAATAATACTGTTATCAGTACTGTTAGTCCTGATGATCAACAGCCACCCGTTGGTAATAGTACTGCCGATTCAGATATTAACAGCACTACATCCGAATCAGGAAGCGATACAACTTCCATACATACAGGTGCCGATACAACTGGTGTTACCAGCAATGAGAATACCCAACAAAGCCAAACACAAGCACCTTCTGTGAGCTCTGGTGGTATGTATGGGTGTGTGTGTTGTCATTGTTTTTTTAATGACATTTCAATGACTGTTTGGTTGTTTGTTAACAAATTGCTGACAATTTAAAAAAACTGCTTAAAAATATATATTTTATAGTAAAAACAACATCAGAGAAACCAAAGTCAAAGTCATCGGGAATGACATGGATTTTGATAGCCGTTATTGTCGTCGTAGTGGTCGCTCTGATACTTATACTTTGCATTTGTGGTAATTCTCTCTCTCTCTCTCTCTCTCTCTCTCTCTCTCTCTCTCTCTCTCTCTCTCTCTCTCTCTCTCTCTCTCTCTCTCTCTCTCTCTCTCTCTCTAAACATTTTAATCAAAATTTTGATAAATAATTTGTATATTATTTCATCCAAAAAAATCAGTAATAAAAAATCGCGATTCAAGTGAGAAAAAATCGATACCACAGTCAACCAGTGAAAGAGCTTTGCCAACAAAAATGACTGATAACACGAATAAGGTTGGATCAATTAAATCAGGACCACAATCACCGATCAAATTGGACGGAAAGTCTGAACCTCCGCCTCCTCCTCCTCCGCCGCCGCCACCACTTCCAGAAATATCATCGGCAAAAACGACTGAAAAGACGCCACCGGTTGAAAAAGAGTCGGACACAGCGCTGGCGCCGAAGTCAGCCAATGGACAGCCAATTGTTGTTGAGGAGAGTAATGAAGATCCGACACATGAATCGGAAACAACGGTGACGGATACAAAATCGGATGAAACAGTGATCAACATCGATGCCGAACCCACTGCCGAACCCACTGCCGCCAAATCTAACGGTCCCTGAAATAGTCTGATTCATACTGTGATTAAAATCGATACACAACTACTACAACAAACAGAAATTATTATCAAAAAATTAATTATTATTATTGTGTTTGTGTTTTTTCAACTATAAGTTTTGTTATTATTATTATTATATAAATTGATTCAAAATGCTTTTTATTAACAAAAAAAATTTAATATAACTCAATACATATAATATTAATTTTTTTCAACTAAAGTTTACAAATTTATCAAATTTTTTAACTAATATTTATCTATTGTGTATATACCAGTAGTAGTAGTAGTAGTAGTAGTAGTAGTAGTAGTAGTAGTAGTAGTAGTAGTAGTAGTAGTAGTAGTAGTAGTAGTAGTAGTAGTAGTAGTAGTAGTAGTAGTAGTAGTAGTAGTAGTAGTAGTAGTAGTAGTAGTAGTAGTAGTAGTAGTAGTAGTAGTAGTAGTAGTAGTAGTAGTAGTAGTAGTAGTAGTAGTAGTAGTAGTAGTAGTAGTAGTAGTAGTAGTAGTAGTAGTAGTAGTAGTAGTAGTAGTAGTAGTAGTAGTAGTAGTAGTAGTAGTAGTAGTAGTAGTAGTAGTAGTAGTAGTAGTAGTAGTAGTAGTAGTAATATAATAGGCATTGTTTTGACCAATGATAACACTAATGGTTTTGTTGTTACCGATGTTTTACACGATTACCCCAGTGATATGTATATTTAAAAAATGTTTTTATGATATTATTTTTATTTGTAAATTGTATTCAAAAAAAAAATTCCAAACAAATTAATTGCACAGATTTGAACTTCAAGTAAATGATGTGATTATTGAGATAAATGGCCAAATGTTTAGTAATATACGGCAATTAAGTGATACAATCAATGATCCGGATATCATATACGGATTGGACGATGATTTTGACGATGACTTTGACGATGACTTTGATATGACACCTGTGATTAAGTTGAAGATTAGGCGAAACAATGGGGAGATGTCGGCTAAAGTAGGTTTTAGAGATATTAGAGATGATATGCCATCAATATTTTGATATATCTAAAAACATACAGTAGTTTTTTTTAATATACAAAACAATAACATAAAATATATTTTACTTTATAATTTATAAATTAATTTATAACAATATTTACAAATATTTACAGAATACAGGGTTTTTTTCATTGATAGTTTGTAGCTTTGCAACACTAGTTTGTAGTTTATAACATGAAACTACAAACTATTGTTACAAAACTACAACCTATTTAAATAAAAATTAATTATAGCTGAATAAATAAAATATACTTTCTATTAGATCGGAAAAATTTGAATATTTATTGATTTCGAAAAAATAAATAAAAATAAATTACAGTATTTTATAAAATGATATAATTAAAATTCTGTATTAATATAGTAATAATAATAATAAAATAGTAAAATAGTAGAGAATAATTTGGCTTAAATCTATATTATAGTAGAATTTAAATATAGTTTTTAAAAAAATAATGTTAAAAACTATAATACACATATAACAACAATATAACCCATTAAAATCAAAATTAATAAAATTATGTTCAAAAAAAACTTTATTATAATTGACGGTTAAAATTAATAGTATATTTGATTCATACAAGTATACTGTTTTATAGTATTTTTTAAAAAAAATAAAAAACAATTATTATGGGCACAGTTGTGTTTGCAGCACTTGTGTGCATCATTCAGTTCAATGGATATCAACAACAAAATGGATTCTTGAGTGACCAACTGATTCCTGGGTTTCCTGGATTTACTGGTTTTACTGGGTTTCCTGGGTTTCCCGGTATTCCTGGTATTGCCACCACTGAGATTCCCGGTATTCCTGGTATCGACAACACTGGGATTCCTGGTTTCGCCACCACTGGGATTCCCGGTGATGATGGATATAGTGTTTCTACAGAAGCTGAAACCATTAGTGAAACCAATGATGGCACCAATGAAAACACTGTAGTCACCATCAGTAGTACCATTGCAACGGCAATTGATGAAACTGATAGTCCAACTGATGGTGATAGTATTGCAACCGTTACTGGCTATGAAACCGACATAACTGCTGGCAGTCAGACCACCGGTATTCCCGATGACGAAAATACTGGTAATAGTTTTACAACTATTAGTTACACTGATATTACCGGCAACGACAACACAACTATTATTACTACTACTGGAGTTGAAGGAACTGATGGTAGTGGTAACGGTACGGCTACAGGTATTACTGGTGAAGGCGGTGCTAATTCAACTGATTTAATCAGTACAACCATCGATGGTAATGATGTTACAACAACTGACAAAACAACTACTCCAACATCGAGTAGTGATGGCAAACCATCTGACACTTCTGGCACTGGTATGTGTGTGTGTCTTAAAAATTGATTTAGTGTTTAAAAAAACAGATAATAATAATAATAATAATCTTCTCTATACAGAAACCACTTCAACAACAACAACGAAGACAAATATGACGACCACTACACCGACGACGACAACAATCAAATCAAAGAAAAATTCAAATCACATGTTGTTTTGGATAATATCCGCTATATTTGTCGGATTAGGTGTATTGATCGGTCTCATGGCTTATTGTAAGTCCTATCAACAACAACAACAACAAAATTCAACTATACCTACCATAACACCCAATTTGATCCACTATTTTCTGTCCTAATATTTTGTTTCCACGAATAGGTTTGTTGACTAAACGCAGTCCAAAACGCAAACACAATTCAACACCGAAGACACCGTCGACTGGTAAGGAAAGGCCAATGAAATCGCCGCCAAATGCTACGAAAGCCGCCGCCGGCGGTAAAGCATTGGACACCAATGATGTAGAGGCCGGTGCTGTCAAGTCATTCGGATCCGACGAGTCTATTGTTTCTGTACAATCAAAATCCAATCCTAGTGTTTAAAAAACCAACAAATATTTGATTGAAACCATAATAATATAGTAATATTATGTCCAATTGTTTTATGTTTTTTTTGTTTAATTTAATTTTTGTTAAAATTTTTTTGTTTTGTTTTTTTGTCTCTTTCATTATCAAAACATTTAAATTTATGAAATATAATAAAAAAATACCAACTATTTGTTTATTTAGTTGAAATTGAAGTTTTATTTCATATAATTCTACACTATTTTACTATTATTATAAACAATTGATTAATAAAAAAATAACTTTTAATTTACTGCACGTTATCTGTAAGAAACTTGATTTTTTAAAAAAAATAATAGTATTGAAAAAAAACACAAAAATAAATTTCAGTTATAAAATAAACTAGATTTAAAGTTTCATATATATATATTGATATATATTTATAAATACTAGTTTATAGATTCATTTTTTTAAAAATTACATAATATACAGTGTGTATAACTGATCCATCAATTTAATGTATATGACATCGTTTAGTAATACTATCCGTACCATACCGTTGGTCATTATTATTGTAATTGAATTGATATCGTTTGACATTAATCACTATCACTATCATCATCATTGTCTTGTGTTAGCTGATACTATCAATAGTAGTGGTAGTCTTAGTAAAGCCAGTCCAGAGCAACCTAATGCCACAACAACTATAACAGTCTCAGCCATTGTCAATGATACCAGTGGTGGTAATGGTATCACAAATACATCATCTTTGATTATAACTGATGATCACACCATAGGTATACATACACACATAAACAAACAAAGTTAATTAGATAAGACACACACATACACACACATACACACACATACACAAACTTTCCTATTGTTTGATTTATGTTTATTTTTTTATTTCCATAAAATTAAAAATAATATTTATTAGTAAATTCAACGACAACACCAAAAACTGGTAATAATGTTGAACTGATTCCACCAAAAGTCGCCAAATCTAGACATCCGACCACTTTGTTTTGGGCTATTGTTTGTATAGTCATAGCACTGGGTGTTATCCTTGGACTTATCTGTCGCTGTAAAATACATATATGATATATGCAATAAAAAAATTAGTATTAATTAATTTTAAATGTTTTATCTTTTTTGTTTGTTTGTTTGTTTTAGTTATACAGCACTCGAAACTTCAAAACAGGACACCTCCGACACCGCCAAAGGTTAAGTCAAAAGACCAACGGATAATACAGATACCTAAATCAGATGATACCGTTGCTGCTGCTACTGGTGCTGATGTCAATCGCACCTAATAATAACACAATAGACTTATTATAATATTTTTGTTTTGTTTTTTTTAAGATTTAAAAAATCAATTTATATACATATATATACTGTATACAGTATATTGATAGTATTATACTGTACACAATAGTACATACAATATATATTTGTTTAATATGTTTGTTTAAATTTATAATTATCATAACAAAATACTAAATTATTATTATATTTTTTACATATAAAGTTATAATATAAATGTTTTTATAAATATAGGTGCTTTTTAATAATGATGTCTTATCTAAAATCAATAAAAAATTATTTCAATAGTAATAACTATAACTATATTATGTTAATTCAATTGAAGGTTGTATTAAATAACATTGACATTCAATTAAAAATTATGTTAATTGAAAATAATAATAATAATTGTCTCAAATTAAAATATCATTATTTATTGCAATGAATATAATTTTTGCATTTTTTTCAATAAAATTTGAGTACAAAGTAATAAATAGTAATCTATATTAATATATTTATTAATTATTTCTTAATAATTATAAAAATTAGATAATTATTTCTAAAAATTTGTTTCAAAACAACTATTTTAATTAGTATCACATGAATTAATAAAAAAAGAAATAAAATAATAATTATAATATTCTATAAATGTATTAATAAATATAATATTTCTTTTATGCTTATAGTGACAAATAATTGTAATATTTTAACTTTTAATAAATTTTTATGAGTGTTTTTTTTTGTTTATAATAATATATTTAAATTTATAAACTATGCGTTTAACAAAATATGATATCCTATTGTGTTTATTGGGCGAAAAGTGCTATCGATTGGGATTTCCTAAATATAATCAAAATTATAAACACATATCTGATAATAAACTAAACAATTTATTTAATATATGTTGTTTTGTTGAGCTATTGAAAACAATTTTCTATTATTATCTAAATAATAATAATAATCAATACAATAGTTATTTGGGTGAATGGCCTGATTTTGGTAAAAAATGTTTTACTATATCAATAATTTGTTCGTATATTATCAAATCAATTAGTAATAAAAGTTTTCACAAATTTAATAATAAAAAACATTTATTATATAATATTAATCGTATACCAAATATAAATACACATAAGTCTATTGTCAGATATTATAAAATACTTAACAAACTAATAACAAGTTTAATATTATTTTGTGTACTAATATATCCATTGTTAACAATGTCATTGTACTATACATTCAATCAATTGATAACATTTGGCTTAATTTGGTCAGTATTTTATGCGTTTTGTGGCTATAAATCACAATTACTATTAGCCTATAATATGCTATATTTTTCGACAATATGTTTATATTTGAAATATCAATTGAAACAATTGAATTGGAAAATTGAAAAATTAAATAAACTAAAAATATTGTCGACTAAACAAAATCATTTATTTAGAAAAATATTGTTTAAAAAATTGAATGAATTTTATATTAGAAATTATACACTCAATAAATTATGGTCATTAATATTGCTATACTATTGCCTATTTTATTATTTAATGATATCGTGTCCAATAATAGCACTTATTGAGGCAATTAAATATAAAAGCAATACATTTACATTTATAACATTGATCCTGGGTTCATTAATATGTTTTACATCTATTACATCAGTAATACTATTAGCCAGTAATATCAATACGGAAGCTAAACATACGTATAAATTAATTAATAGTTTAAATTGTAATAAATTGTTTCAAATGAATACAAGTCATACATTGCTTAGAAAATTTAAAGTAAGTTTTTATAAAAAAATATCTCATTTAAAAAATAATATACAGTATATTGAAAATAATAATATAAAATACATAATAATTATTATTGTTAATTAGTTGCTTAAATTAATTGAATTGATGGCAAAACCGAAAATTGGTTTCTATTGTTGGAAATTATTTTTAATCAATCAATTTACTTATCAAATAGTAATTATATTTTAAACTAATTTGATTTGAAAATTTGCTTATAAAATTAATTAATAAATTATTTTTTTTAAATTGATTTTTTCATTTAAACAGTTTCTTTATACGGTTACAAAAGTCATTTTAAAAATAATTTTATTTATTTAAATTAGTTAGTTATTATTGTAATTTTAGTAATAAAATTAGTTTAATGTATTAATAATTTAGTGTTTTTTTGTAATACTACAAAACACTTTCTAAAAATGTAATAAATTGTAATAAAAATTAATAGGATAACAATATTAATAAATTATAAATTTTTATCAATATATTGTTGCTATTCATAATTTAAAATTTATTTAAAAATTTTAAAAAATATAGTATTTGTTAGTTCATTGTCGATCAGAAGATATCAATCAGTTTTTTAAAAAAACCATTTATTTGAATCAAATTATGAACAATAGTAAAGATACCAAAATTGAAAACAGTAATGAAGATGCCATCGGCGACAATATGGACATCAGTGATGATGCCATCAAACAATTGAAACAAGATTTCAAACAATCGGCCATTGATTTGGTGGTCAAGAAATTCCACAAAAAGGCCAGAAATGTCGATTCACTGATGAAAGACAAAAAGTTTCAGTTTTCATACAATGATTTTGGTGTCGACATCAATATCCCGGCGACTAAACCAATGGCCAACAGTTGCACAAATGAAATTGAGTGCCAAAACAAGGACAGCAATAGTGGTGAACCGTTAGCCACTAAAAGACTTAAATTGTCTCACAATTCAATTGCCATCAATTGTATATCCACTGAATCAGACGACTCAAGTGATGACAAGAACTCCAACCACAAGAAAGTGGTTTTGTTTTCCAACGGAACCGTTGAATGCAACCCGACTTTGACTGAATTGACGGCAATTATCAGACCACTACTCGACGAGTTTATAGCCGATTTGGTGACATTGAAGACTGGTATTCATCTGATGATTCCGCAGATAGAAGATGGCAACAACTTTGGTGTCGAAGTACAACAGGATGTGTTGGAACTGTTGACTACTGTTGAGGAAGAAATGATTGGTCGCATGAATTCATTTCATGTCTATTACTCGATTAGAGCCGATCTGGTCGTCAAACTTGCAGAACATCCCGACAGTGATGACTATCGTCGGGCTATCGGCCAAAGGGATCAATTGTTTCATAAACAACTCTGTTATATATTGGCATCGATTCGCAACTATTATCTACAAATTCATGACCTGATTGTCAAAAATCTGAAACGAATTCAGAAACCAAAGTCGGGAACAAACGAAGGTTTGCTTTATTGAAATCCCAATCAAATTCAATGTCAAAGTGGTGTCAGTAGTCTATTAGTTGGATAAACAACAGTTAGTTGTTATTAATATCTGAAAAAATAAATGTTATTTTGAAGTTTAATGATTTGTTAATTTTATTTTTTTAAATATAATTTTTATTAAATGTTAATTAATTAGTATTTTTATGAGTAAAAGTCTTAGTATATATATTTATATATATATAAACTAGTTATTGATATAAATCTGTGATTTTTATTAAATAGTTTAAAAAAACAATTAAAAATGTTGTTTTAGTTACAAATGTTCTATAAATTATAAAGTTTTCTTACAAAATAAATTATTATTTTAATAAAATTTTATTAATATATAAAATAGATTAGTAATAAAATGATATATATATATAAACTTATAACTCTAATAGATACAACTGTAAAATTTTTTTTATTAAACCATTTGTGGCATACGTGTACTTTCGTAATCAAAACTATTGACTATCACTGGCATTACATTATTGATGCGATTGATATTCAAAATAATTTCAACACCAAAACTATTGATGGCATCAGTCATTTGGTTAATATCGGTAAACGGTTGGCCATTGATTTCAAGTATCATATCATTGATCTGAAGTACAGTCCTATTAGTCGTATACAGGAGTAGTGTTTGCAACAACAACAACAAAAATCATTAAACAATAAAAACATAGTTTGAAAAAAATATTTGTTTGCATTTTTTTAATAAAAAAAAAATAATAACATTACATGCGTTTGTCAATAACATCGACGACCATAAAATCGGTGTTAATATCAGTATTTTTTGATAAAACAATACCCAATTGATAATCACTTTTTGGATAATAGTGTTGATTTCGATTGAATTTTTCGATATCCCGTTCATATGACCGAACATAAGAACCGGCTCTTCCGAGAAATGCTTTTAAATTAAAAAGAAATTTGTTTTTTTTAAATTAATTTATAATAATAATAAAAAAAATGATTTATTATGACTTTTAAATATATGTAAATTTATTTATTTGTATGTGACATACCGTTTACAGTTTTACTATGGGTACCGATTTTAGGTTTGTTAGACAACTCTAATATTCCCGAATTAATTCCAATAATCCTGTGTTTGGCGTCAACTATAGGCGCACCGGACGTACCGGGAATTGTATTTGATTGATGCAAAACAAACGATTCAGATTTATCTAATATACTACCCAACGGTACATACTGTGTCTCCGATATCGTATCAAATGGTGTGTTTGTAGTAATATAGCCGACAATGACTATCCACCATTGGCCAGCACCGTGACCCAAAATGGCTACCTGTTCGCCCAGTTCGTGTGGACGGTCGACTAGCGGCATAATTGGCAAAAGTTGGCTAAGATCGGCCAACTCTATTAGCTGTAAAAGTGCCAGATCCAGGTGATTCTCAATATATATCACTTGGGCCACCAACATATCTGTCTTTTCGACGGTCGACTGTTCCGGCAATTGTTTGGTCTGCGCCTGAAAACATGTATAGGCAAACATATGATCATAACCGGCCACTACGTGAGCATTGGTTACGGCAATATTTGCTTCAGTATCCACAATGACTGCCGCACCGGACGAATTAATTTCCTGATTGTCGGCATAGTTGATACCCAACAAAAAAATACAACTATACTTATATCTTTGTTTCAAGTATTCAATGTCCACATCAAACATGTGAGCCCTAGTTATCCATTGAATACATGATTTTCTATTAGTATTAGACTTTCGGTTAGATATTTCTATCCGCGATTGATGTCTAATCGTTGACTGTTTGGCCAGTAGTTGTCGGCGCTTAGTATATACAGACAACGATGATAGCAATAAAGCCGACGATAATAGAAATTTTCTGTAATTTAAAAAATATATATATATTTAGAGTTAAATGATTAGATGTAAAGCAATTATACAGTAAATAATAATTATTAATATTATCATAAATGTATAGTCAATCAAATAAATGTTAATTATCTAATCTAACAGTTTGTGTACTGTATATACCTTTTAGTATAATAACAAATCATTTTTTTAGTAGTGTATAAACAAAACACATTTGATAATATCAAATGTAATTAAAAACTAAAAATTATTGGCATTAAACTAACTGTCAATTAATGGTTAATAAAAAATAAATAAATAATTCATATAACTTTTAAATTACAATCACAGTTGTGTGCATCTATTGTTGCTAATTATGTAATTATAATTTTTATAATAATTATTGCTATTATATAACTACTACATGTACTTACTTAGTATATATTAAAATAAGATAATTTAATAACTCAATAGTGATTCAATAATTAAATCAATAAAAAAATTAAATACTGAATGTGTATGTGTATGTGTATGTGTATGTGTATGTGTATGTGTATGTGTATGTGTATGTGTATGTGTATGTGTATGTGTATGTGTATGTGTATGTGTATGTGTATGTGTATGTGTATGTGTATGTGTATGTGTATGTGTATGTGTATGTGTATGTGTATGTGTATGTGTATGTGTATGTGTATGTGTATGTGTATGTGTATGTGTATGTGTATGTGTATGTGTATGTGTATGTGTATGTGTATGTGTATGTGTATGTGTATGTGTATGTGTATGTGTATGTGTATGTGTATGTGTATGTGTATGTGTATGTGTATGTGTATGTGTATGTGTATGTGTATGTGTATGTGTATGTGTATGTGTATGTGTATGTGTATGTGTATGTGTATGTGTATGTGTATGTGTATGTGTATGTGTATGTGTATGTGTATGTGTATGTGTATGTGTATGTGTATGTGTATGTGTATGTGTATGTGTATGTGTATGTGTATGTGTATGTGTATGTGTATGTGTATGTGTATGTGTATGTGTATGTGTATGTGTATGTGTATGTGTATGTGTATGTGTATGTGTATGTGTATGTGTATGTGTATGTGTATGTGTATGTGTATGTGTATGTGTATGTGTATGTGTATGTGTATGTGTATGTGTATGTGTATGTGTATGTGTATGTGTATGTGTATGTGTATGTGTATGTGTATGTGTATGTGTATGTGTATGTGTATGTGTATGTGTATGTGTATGTGTATGTGTATGTGTATGTGTATGTGTATGTGTATGTGTATGTGTATGTGTATGTGTATGTGTATGTGTATGTGTATTAGTTTCATGACATAATTAAAAAAAATTAGATTGTATTAAATCATACCAACTGTACATTGACTATGGGTTCCCAGTTTAGATTTGTCAGTCATATCATTCTCAGCAAAATTAATGCCAATAATATCGTAATTGGCGTTAATTATAGGCGAACCGGACGTACCTTTAGTTACATTTGAATTATGTACTACAAAAAGTTGCAACTTATTAGACTGTCTGACTGATTGATAAGTCAATGGATAAATAACGTTAACATAGCCGACATAGATTGTCCAAAATTGTTGTTCACCGTTACCTAAAATGACTACCGGTTCACCCAGTTCTGGTGGCTTATATATATGGCCTAACCAAAGTTTAGGCCCGTACGAGAAAATTAATTTTTTTCAACAGAAAACAATTAATTAGGTCCTAATAAACATTTATTGATAAAAATTATTGCGCGGAAAATCCTAAAACCCAACTAAAACTAAATCTAAATACCTGAGCTCACATAACAAAATAATACACTAAATATTATAAAAATTAATATCAATAAACATAAAGCCCGTGAATATTGTTATCAATGTCTATACCTGTATAATAAACAATATTATTCTCTATACGACTATAAAAGTTAAAAATGTTTGTATGTATGTATGAATTTATGTGTCAATGTCCTCGCAACCTAACCTAATTTTCAAAGTAAACCTAATCTAATCTATACAGTACTGGGTTACCGAATCAATGTTTGTAATGTTACCTAACCTTCATATATTGGATTTATGTTTTGAAATCATATTATTGTGGTTAAATTAATTTATAAATTCTATAAAATTAGATGGTTATGTTCCGCGTGGACAACTAGTTGTTTTTTTGAAAGTATTATAAAGAAATGACAACAATACTATTTTATTAGCAATGTTATAAATGTTAATTATATTCACGCGCTTTATGTTTATTAATATTAATTTTTTTTATAATTAGTATATAATTACATTATGTGAGCTCAGGTATTTAGGTTAGGTTTTAGTTGGGTTTTATGTGTTTCCGCGCAATTATTTTGATGGATATATGTTTTTTAGGTCATAATTAAATATTTTCTGTTGAAAAAACTAAATTTTCTTTTACGGGCTTAAACTTTGTTTTAACCCTACAACTGTATACGACTAATAGGATTGTACTTCAGATTAATGGTATAATACTTAAAATCAATGGCCAACTGTTTACCGATATCAGCCAAATAACTGATGCCATTAAAAATAGTTTCAATGATGACATTACTTTGATTATCTATCGTAACAATAATATAATGCCAGTCAATGTCGGTATTTTAGCTTACGATAGGATACCACTTGTGTTTTAATAGACATTTATAAAAATACTTAAATATATTGTTATTATAATTAATTTGTTTTTCATAATAATTATGTTCAATCAATATTTAATAATTGTATTAAATGTATATTTATTATTTTTACATTACTTATAATATAAATAAATAATACAAATGTTTGAAATATAAAAATTTTCTAATGTGAATACAAATCGAGTGATTTCACGTGCAATGAGTAGTATTATTAATACATTTAATACAGTGTTGTAATGCACGCGCAAACAATATATAATAAAACGAAGCTCTCTCCCTCTCTCTCTCTCTCTCTCTCTCTCTCTCTCTCTCTCTCTCTCTCTCTCTCTCTCTCTCTCTCTCTCTCTCTCTCTCTCTCTCTCTCTCTCTCTCTCTCTCTCTCTCTCTCTCTCTTTCTCTCTAAGGTAAGCGTTGCCATATTTAAACATAATTTGTAAAATTTGTAAAATTTAGTTAATTATTATTATTTATCATCAAATTGACAGTTAGTTAACATTTTTTCATAATTTTTGAATTCCTACTGAACTACTATTGACTACTACTACTACTGAACTATTGTTAATACTTTCTACAAAACAATGATTTTGTATTTTATTAACAAAAGGTATGTCCAGACAAATCAATTATTAAATTACTACTGTTATTGTTTCAAAGCATTTCTATCAAAATAAATTTTAAATAAATTAAAAAAAAAAAATTTCCAGAAATATTCTGTTATCGTCGGCTTCATTGCTAACATCATTGGCTATATATAATACTAATCGACGACAACTGGTCCACAAACAGTCATCACTACCGACAATGATTTGGCAACAATCGGTCGGACAAATGTCTGACCACCGAAATAATGCCAATTCAACTAATAATAAGCAATCGATTGAATGGTTGAGTAGAAGGGCTCACATGTTTGACATAGACATTGAATACTTAAAAAACAGTTACGAAAAAAATGTGATTGTATTGTATAGTTACCGAAATGAGGACAGTCTGCGAGCATTCACCTACGGAACGGCAGTCATGTTTAATGACAACCAAAATTTGGCCGTTACTAATGCTCATGTAGTGGCCGGCTTTCACTATATGGTAGGCCATACACGCTTCTCAGGGCCGACCATAAAGTTAGAGGAACAGTCGGCCGTCGAAATGATTAATAAATTCATTGCCAAAGTTGTATATGTTGAAAAGCATCTGGATCTGGCACTGGTACATCTATATGAAATGGACATCGCAGAAATCCAGTTGCTGCCATTGAATCTGGCCAATCGTTCACTGGAATTGGGCGAATCGGTAGCCATTTTGGGTCACGGTGCTAGCCAAATGTGGACAATCCGTGTCGGCTACATAACTGCTTATACAACCATTGATACTATAAGTGCAACAAATTATATACCGTTATCCGATAAGTTAGACAAATCGGAACTGTTTGTCGTACATAAGACCTATACTATTCCCGGAAATTCGGGTTCACCTATAATTGATGCCAACTATAACATTATTGGCATTCATTTTGGTTCAGTAATATCCAAGGAATACCTAAAAGTTGGCATCCATTATAAAAGTTTAAAAAGTATTTATACAAATACAAACATATAATTTATATATATAGTAAATAAGTTATTAAAAACAATTTTATTATTTATTATATACTAAATTATTTATGATTTTTATTTTTTTTAAACACAGATTTTTATAAAAGAGGCATTAAGTATATGGAATCTGAGGAAAGGCGTATCGAAAGAGACAATCGTTGTGATTATTATACATCAGATATGACCGACCAATTGGGTATAGTTTTAGCCAAAACTACTGATGATATTGGTATCAGATTTACGATAGTCGATGTCTTCAACATTCGCCAGTAAGTTGTTGTTATATATATAATGCTAACAACAATAACAATAACTAAGCAATGATCCGATTAGAAATTATATATATATATATTTAATGATTATACTAATCACTACTAAGTTATTTAATTAATTTAATTAAAATATGTACTAATAATACTAATAATTAGGTTTGAAATTGATACTTATGATATAATACTTGAAATCAATGGCAAGCCTTTTACCGATATCAGCCAAATGACTGATGCCATTAAAAATAGTTTCGGTAATGAAATAGTTTTGACGATCAATACTAACAATTATGTTAGTCCAGTGTATGTCGTTAGTTATGATACCGATATTAAACTACAAGTGTTTTAAAGATAATAAATTAAAAAAAATTATATATAATATTCAATTGAATTTAATTATTATAATTAAAATTCATACTAAATATATAAAAATTTTGTATAAATTTATTATCAATTAATATTATCGTAATTTATGTTTTTCATGCATAGAATAATAATAAATGGTATTTTTATAATATATTGTTAATTACAAGTTTCTTTATAAAAATATATATAATGTTAACAACAAATAATAACAACTAAGCAATGATTTGATTAGAAATTATATATATATATATAAATTTATATTTATGATTACTATTATGATGACTAATTTTAATATGTCAATAGTTATATATATTGTTGTAATATTACAAAAAATAAATCATAATTTTTAAATAAAATTAATAATTTTTTTATTTATCAGCAATTGACAGTTGTGTTAATGTTTTCATAATTTTATAATGACTACTACTGTACTATTGTTAATACTTTCTATAAACCTATAAAAACAACAATACTGAATAATCTGATTGGCATTAATGTTAATGCTTTTTAATATTAATTTGAAATTAATTAACAATAATTAATAATTTTAACTAAATTGGCAGTTATTTTGAGTTTTTTAATGAGTTTTTTTAATGAGTTTTTAAACTAAAAAATATCAATTGTATTGCTTATTGTATAACTAAATATAATGAGTTTTTACAGTAAAAGGTATATTCAAATAAATCTAATGATTTTTTGTTTTGTTTATTCATTTATAAAAGCTATTAAAGATTATTAACTTTATTTGAAACTGACATTGAAATTGATTGGGCTTTAGTTACCTTAGGGGGGCTTCTCTTTTAATATTGGTTTTATATGCTATTCAAATTAATGCTAATTTTATTTATATCAAAAAGTCATGTAATATAATACAATTATTTGAACAATTTTAATAAATTTATACTATTTTATAATTATTATTGTTTATAATAAATAATATTTAAATAATTTAGTTTAATCGTTATATAATTTTTATATTGTTTTAAATGGTAATTATTATCATTTCATGAGATTTATATACATAAATATATATATTAATTAATAAATTTATCAAAATATAGATTATATTAATGATAATAAAATGATTTTTTTTAATTAGTATAAATTATATATTAAATTTGTTAATAAAAGAAAATAAGATTAGATTGAAAAATAAACAAAAATTTTAAAATAATTAATCAAAAAATAAATAAATAATATAATTAATTAATTTATTTATAAAATTATATATTAATATTATCTATAATTTTGATGATTTATTACTAATATTTCTAATTGAATTCAATTCCCGGCTATTAATTTTCTGTTCATTAGAAGTGCCAAACGGTTTCAACAATTGTTGTCCCGTTTGTCGATGTTTTTTACTGACCAATACTAAGTCAATGACAATAAATACTAAACCAATGAATATCAAAATAATTAGTATTATTACTAATATTTTCATATAATTTTCATCATTTATATCCGGATTGTTTGAGTTTTGATCATCAATACTGATCCGACAATTTGGCATAAATGGTGTCAAAGTTTTAATTGATTTACACTATTTAAATTTTTTTTTAAATTTATATTATAATATGTTAATAATAATAATACAAATACCTGTTTTGATAATTGATTTTCTGGTGACACACAATACATGGCCTGAGTATTGTTGATCAGAAACCATAGTATATAGTATTTACCAGAAATTTTATGGTAAGTGTCGGTCACCGAAACTAACTGTCCCAACAATTCATAGTCTAACTGATCGATGAGCAAAGATATCAATTTTCCCAAACAATAGAAATAAGTGGCATATCTAGTGGTCAGACTATACAACCAATAATTTATGTGGTAATCGATATCATCGGAAATTATTGAATTAAATACAATAAATTTATTGTCCGGAAATTTTCTATTATTATTATTACCCCTAATAATAGTAGTTTTTTCATATTTTTTAAACGGATAAATAGTACAATCAATAACTATAATAGTTTCCTTAATAAAAAAAAAATTTAATATTTAAAAATTAAAAAAAAATTAATTTTATACAAACAATGCCATTACCATTGGTTTTATATAGCAATTATAAACATCTTGGATAACATAATCAAAAATTCCCGAAAATTTTCTATTAATTATTTTATTATTATTTCCTAATATTGACTGATTTCTTGTACTTTGAATTAACGATATGTTACTAATAATTGTTTGTCGATTGTTTTCAGTGTAATAATCCAATCGGACTGTCCATTCAACTATTGTATTATCATTTCTAATTGTTATCAATTGAATGGTTGAATTAAATTTAGGTACTCTATAGTTGTCCAACCAATACCATTGTCTATAGACATAATAGCTATTGAATCGGCCGTTTGGTGCCAACTCTTGACATACATTGTCGATGTTGTCGTTACCATTGCTTACGACATCACCAGTGATTATGACGACTGTCATCGACAACAACAGTGTTATTATTATCAACCATATGATTACCACCGATGATGACCACAAACTTTGTAAACGATTACATAAATAGTTGTTATTATTGTAATACATATTTAATTTTAAAGACTAAATTGAATATTTTAATAAATATTTAAGTTTATTAAACTTTTTTTTAAATATAATATAATGAGATAATTAGATATTATTATAATTATTATGTTTTAATTGTTGATTTGAAAGTTTAAAATATTTTTATTTCATGAAATAGTTTTATTGTTTAAAATATGTATGATTTGTATTGTAATACATATTCATATTTGATGTCAAAAAAATCAATTAATTGCTATTAAGTTTATTTGCTAACTAAAAAATTGTTGTAATATAATAACAAGTATTAAAATATTTTTTTTTTAATATACCGGTAAATGTTTGAAACATTTGAATTTCAATTATTATTATTATAAATAATGTTTTTTAAACAATTTTATGTAGTTTTTAATCGCTATAATAATAATTGTTGTAAATTTAATTGAAAAGTTTGTTAAAGCAATAGATTATTGAAAGTTAAAAAAAACAAATTAATTCAATAAATACTAGTTTAACCCCTAAAAACTAAAATATATAACAAACAAAAAAATAATTGCTTAAATAGTTAACAATAATAATGGATTTTTTATATAAAAAAAATTACTGAAATTAAAAATATAATTTTGATGTTTTACTACGAGTTTTATATTTAATTGAATCCAATTCTCGGGTATTAATCGTCGGTTCAATAGTAGTGCCAAACGGTTTCAAAATTGTTTGTTGTTTTTGTTGTCGATATCTTTTATTATTATTATTACAAACAAATACTATAATAACAATAATAGCGATGAAAATAGCAATTAATAGCAAAATACTTATAAGTATTATAACTAATATTTTAATATAGTTTTCATCATTAGTTTCCGGACTATTGATCGGACAGTTTGGCAAAAACGGTGTCAATGTTTGAATTGATTTGCACTTTAAATATATTTATTAAAAAAACAATATATTATAATTATAACTAAAAAATTAATTTAAAAATTAATAGTTAATTAAAACAAATAGTTAATTAAATAACATATCCATACCTTTACCGATAATTTAGTTTCCGGTGACACACAATACATAGCCTTACTATTATTGATCAGAAACCATAGTATATAGTATTTGCCATACAATTCATGGCTAATGTCGGTCACCGAAACTAACTGTCCCAACAATTCATGGTCTAATTGATCTATCAGAAATGCGGGCCGATTTGAACCATTTTCATAGCAATCCAATTGAATAATAAATAATATACCCGGATACAATATTTTACAATTGATAGCCGTAGAGTATCTAGTGGTTGGACTGTACAGCCAGTAAGCGGCCGAATAATCAGTATCGGCATAAACCCCGGGACTCAATACAATGTATGTATTATTATCGGGAAACTTATTGTCCGAATTGGTAATGTTTACAATAGTTTTGATATCATTGTATTGGCAGTGGATATGTATAATAAATTTCTGGGTTTGAAAAACAAAACAAAATAAATATATCATATAATTATTAGTCCAATAATACAATATATACGGAATATATATTTATTAATTTTAATTTTAATTTTAGTATTTATATTATACTTATTAACTAACCGTTGATTGAATATAACAATTATAGACATCTTTTCTATTGAATAAAATTCCCGAAAACTTTTTGGTTTTATTATTATTTGTCTCAACTCTTGTACTTTGAATTAACGATAAGTTGCCGATAATTTGGTCTGTGTTTAACGGGTTATAATCCAAACGGACTGTCCATTCAGCTACTGTACTATCATTTATAGTTGATATCAATTGTATGGATGTATTAAATTTGGGCACTTTATGTGTGCCCAACTGATACCACTGTCTGTAGACATAGTAGCTATTGAATCGGCCGTTTGGTGCCAACACTTGACACACATTGTTGTCGTTACCATTGCTTATGACATAATCACCAGTGATTATGACTGTCATCAACAATGACTGTATTACTATCATCAACCATATGATGACCACCGATGATGTCGATAACCACAAACTTTGTAAACGATAAAAATATGTATGATTTGTATTGTAATACATATTTATATTTGATGTTAAAAAATCAATTAATTGCTATTAATTTTATTTGCTAAATAAAAAATTGTTGTAATATAATGACAAGTATTTAAATAAAAAATTGTTGTTTTATGATATACCGGTAAATGTTTGAAACATTTGAATTTCAATTATTATTATTATCATCATAAATAATGTTTTTTTAAACTATTTATATATTGTTTTAACCGCTATAATAATAATTGTTGTAAATTTAAATAAAAAAAAAAGTTTGTTAAAGCAATAGATTATTGAAAGTTAAAAAAACAATCTTTGAATAAATGTTTTATAATTCCCGAAAACTTTTTGACGGTTTTATTATTATGTTTTCTCTCATCTCTTATACTTTGAATTAACGATAAGTTGCCGATAATTTGGTCGGCGATTAGTATATAAAGCTAATGATGTTAGCAATGAAGCCGACGAAAGCAGAAAATTTCTGTATTAATAGTTAGAGTGAAATTGATTTGTTGTTTATAAAGTTATTATTAATAATATATATTTAATTTGATTTGACATACCTTTTAGTATAATAGAAAATCATTATATAGTAGATTATGAACTAAACTGTTGTTGAATAACGTATTGAAAGTTTCAATTTGAAACACTAATTAACTGCCAATTAATCAATTGTTGAAGATATACAGCTATACTTCAATTTTAGCTATATTTTAATTATCTATTTTTGTATTTAATCTCATTTACCTATTTTAGTGCATTTATGATACCTTATATTTACTTTTAATATTATTTTTGACCGTTTTATGACCGTTACCTGGATATCCTGGTCAGTGACACCAATCACTGGCACCTCAATGACCAGTATATCACATATCCAACCGTTTTATATTCAAATAGCCCAATGACTACCCTTCCCTCACATACTTTACCTGTACTTCCTATTGACTATAAATACTGTATAACTACTGTATTCATTAGTCAGTGCATTCATTACCACAGTCACAGTCACTACTACTGTACTATTCATACCTGAGTCCTATCTCACCATTACATTCACTGCACTCAAACCACACGTGTTTTATACCGATTTTTATACCGATTATTATACCGATTATTATACCGATTATTATACCGATTCTTATACCGATTTTAACCATAGTTTTAATCGTTGTTTTAACTGTTTTGCTGTTTTGATAATAAAGTGTTTAACTTAATACCAGTGTATTATCATTCATATCATTGCCATACTTGAAGTCTTGACTGAACTAACTAATTGCCTATCAATTAGTTAGCCATTGTCTTACCGGTAGATAACTCCCTGAACGTTGTGTACAAGGATTTGGATCACCCATTTGGACACCACTTGGACACCACAACTGCAGATCAGCTAATCATCTGAGAAGTCCTTAAAGACCTATTGGGTGATAATCTATAGTCAATCATTAAGTGGTTGACTCTGTGTATTGGATATTAATAGTCTGGTATTGGTCTCATACCGACCCACGCTGCATACCTGACCGGTTAATCGATACCGTTATTGATTTACCGATAGTTAATTACCGATACATAACTAATAGGGTACAGTCGACAGTATCTTTAATCGGATCCCTGTCTAACTATACCCACCAAACACAACACAATAATTATTAAAAATTATAGCTCACACTTTGTTGTAACGATATTAATATTTAATACAATTTTTAACTAAAAAGTTATTAGTATAGTATATTTTTATTGTTTTATTTAATTACAGTTATGCCGACAATAACAACTAATTTCTGATATAGCAAAAGTTAAAAAAAATAAATAATAATAAAAGTTAAATAATAAGTAGATAATAATAAATATAGTTAAAAATAATAAAATTTATAATTTATAAGTTTAAATAATTATAGATTAAATAATTTTATTAAAAAATAAGCTATTTTTATATAGAAATATGTATCTAACATTATATTATGAAAATACCATTTATTATTAAAAAAGTTACAAACAATTCTATAGTATATGAAAAACACATATTATAATATTAGTTGAAAATAAATTTATATATAATTATTAATACAAAATTTTTATATATTTTGTATGAAATTTAATTCTAATTTAATTGAATATTATATATATATATATATATATATATATATTAAATTTATTATTTTTAAAACACTTGTTTCATACTATCGTTATCATAACAAACGACATGCACTGGACTAACATAATTGTTACGATTGATCGTCAAAACAATTTCATTAACTAAACTATTTTCAATGCCATCAATCATTTGGCTGATATCGGTAAACGGCTGGCCATTGATTTCGACTATTATATCATTGATTTGCAGTTTAGACCTAAGTATTAGTACATAATTTAATTTAATTAAATAAATAAATAAATAAATTAGTAGTTATTATTGTATAATCATTAATATATATAATTTCTAATCAGATCATTGCTTAGTTGTTATTATTTAATATTGCATATCTAATATTATTTGTTGTTAGCATTATATATATAACAACAACTTACTGGCGATTGTTGAAGACATCGACTATAGTAAAACTGATACCAATATCATCAGTAGTTTTGACTAAAACTATACCCAATTGGTCGGTCATATCTGATGTATAATAATGAAAACGATTGTCTCTATCGATACGCCTTTCCTCAGATTCCATATACTTAATGCCTCTTTTATAAAAATCTGTGTTTAAAAAAAAATAAAAATTATAAATTAATTAGTATATAATAAGTATAGTAATAATAATATTGTTTTTAATAACTTACTTACTATATATATATATATCTACTATTTGGTATATATTATATGTTTTTATTTGTATACATACTTTTTACACTTTTAGATTGAGTGCCAACGTTAAGGTGATCACTGGATAATACTCCACCAAAATGAATGCCTATAATTTTATAGTTGGCATCAATTATAGGTGAACCCGATGTTCCGACAATACAATTGGACTTATGTACGACAAACAGTTCCGATTTGTCTAACCCATCGGATAACGGTTCATAATTTGTCACATTTATACTATCAATAGGTGTATATGTAGTTATGTAGCCGACATTGATTGTCCAATGATGAAAATTGCCGTGACCTAAAATGGCTACCGATTCGCCCAATTCCAGTAGACTATTGGCCGGATTCAATGGCAGCAACTGGATTCCGGTGATGTCCATTGCATATAGTTGTACCAGTGCCAGATCCAGATGCCGTTCAACATATACAACTCGGGCAATGAATTCAATAGACATTTCGACGGCCGACTGTTCATCTAACTTTATGGTCGGCGCTGAGAAGCATGTATAGCCTACCATGTGGTGATAGCCGGCCACTATATGACCATTAGTAACGACCAAATTTCGGTTGTTAGTAAACATGACTCCCGTTCCGAGTGTTTGCATTCGCAGGTTGTCGTCATTTCCGTAACCATACAATGCGATCACATTTTTTTTGTAATTGTTTTTTAAGTATTCAATGTCTATATCAAACATGTGAGCCCTACTCAACCATTCAATCGATGGCTTATTATTATTAGTAGAATTAGCATTATTTCGGTGATTAGACATTTGTCCGACCGATTGTTGCCAAATCATTGTCGGCAGTGGTGACTGTTTGTTGGCCAGTTGTCGGCGGCGATTAGTATATAAAGCCAATGATGTTAGCAATGAAGCCGACGATAACAAAATATTTCTGGAAATTTTTTTATTTAATAATTGATTTGTCTGGACATAAATTTTGTTAGTAAAATACAAAATCATTTTTTTAGACAATAGTACAGTAGTAAATAGTTGATTAGTAGGAATTCAAAAATTATAAAAACATGTCAACTAACTATCAATTGATGATAAATAATATTTATTAAATATAAAATAATTAACTTTCTTTAAATATTATGATTTAATATATTTGTAATATTACAACAATATATATATATATATATATATATATATATATATATATATATATATATCTAATTATTAAATAAAAAATTAATTAAACTGTAAATCTGTAAAATTGTATTATTATAATTATATTAACTGCCATTTAATCAATAATTATTATATTGTATAGTATAGCTCCCACTTATTGTAATGAGATTAATATTTTAATACAATTTTCAATTAAAAAGTTATTAGTATCGTATATTTTTATTGTTTTATTTAATAACAGTTATGCCGACAATAACAACAAATTTCTGATATAGCAAAATAAATAATAATAAAAGTTAAATAATAAATAGTTAATAATAAATATAGTTAAAAATAATAAAATTTATAATTTATAATTGATTAAATAATTTTATTAAAAAATAAGCTATTTTTATATAGAAATATGTATATTATGAAAATACCATTTATTATTAAAAAATCACAAATTATTCTATAGTAAATGAAAAACACATATTATACAAAATTTTTATATATTTTAGTATGAAATTTAATTGTAATTTTAATAATTGAATTCAATTGAATATTATATATAATTTTTTTTAATTTATTATTTTTAAAACACTTGTAGCTTATTATCGTTATCTAAACAAATGACATTCACTGGACTAACATTATTGTTACGATTGATCGTCAAAACAATTTCATTATCGAAACTATTTTTAATGGCATCAGTCATTTGGCTGATATCTGTAAACGGCTGGCCATTGATTTTGACTATTTTATCATTATTTTGAATGTTAAACCTAATTATTTGTATTATTAGTACATATTTTAATTAAATAAATAAATAAATTAGTAGTGATTATTGTATAATCATAAAAATATATATAATTTCTAATCAGATTATTTGCTTAGTATTTGTTAGCATTATATAACAACAACTTACTGGCGATTGTTGAAGACATCGACTGTCGTAAAACTGATGCCAATATCATCAATAGTTTTGACTAAAACAATACCCAATTGGTTGGCCATATCTGATGTATAATAATGAAAACGATTGTCTCTATCGATACGCCTTTCCTCAGATTCCTTATACTTAATGCCTCTTTTAA